TTAGAAAGAAAGAAAGAAAGAAAGAAAAGAAAGAAAGACGGAAAGAAAGAAAGATTGAATAAAAGACGGAAAGAAAGCAAGCAAGAAAGAAAGAAAGAAAGAAAGCAAGCAAGAAAGAAAGAAAGAAAGAAAGAAGATAGATATACTAGAAAGAAAGAAAGACGAAAAGAAAGCAAGAAAGAATGAAAGCCAGAAAGAGAGAAAGAAGGTAGATATACTAAAAAGAAAGAAAGAAAGAAAGAAAGAAAAAAATAAAGAAAGAAAGATGGATATACTAGAAAGAAAGAATGAAAATGAAAGAAAGAAAAAAGAAAAAAAATGGTGGATATAATAGAAAGAAGGAAAGAAAGAAAGAGAGAGAGAGAAAGAAATCAAGAAAGAAAGAAAGAAATCAAGAAAGAAAGAAAGAAAGAAAGAAAGAAAGAAAGAAAGAAAGAAATCAAGAAAGAAAAAGCAAGAAAGTGGTTGGAGAAATATTAAAATTTGAGGGTATATGCAATCCCGGGAGAGTATACCCTAAACAATAAGTAAATAAATATAAATAACGCAGGGGAGTGAGGGGAGATAGGTAGAAATTAGTAAAAGACGAAATAATTAACAAAATATCTCCAATTAAAGAAAATGTAACTGCGACAATATGAAATGTAAAAGGAATGGAAGGTGGAGAGTAAAGTGGAGAGTAAGGTGGAGAGTAAGTAACGATGAAAGAAAGAACAAATAAAGGAAGGAAAGGTGATTTACGTTAAAGAACGAGGCTTAAAGAGTGAGGATCATGACGAGAGAGAAAAAAAACCTGATAAAAAGAGCGAAAAAAATAGGAAGGTCTTAAACGATTAAGTAAAGAAGGACAGTTTTGTAGGGCTAGCGGTGATAAGAACAATTGACAGTGTAAAGTGAAAAGTAAGGAGTATAGTAATGAGGAGAATTAGGAGAGTAAGAGGAGTTATAAAAAGGAGAGTAATGAGGAGAGTAAGGGTTATAGTAAGTTTGAGATAATAACGAGGATGACAAATAAGATTAAAAATAATGGTTAGCGCTGAGAAAAAAAGAACTCAGTAATGGAAAACGGATGAGTAAAGGAAGAAAGAATTACATAACGAATGCAGGAGTACAAAAAAAGGAAGGATAAATGAATGATAGAAAATGGAATAATCCAGCAAAATTTAATAAATAAATGAAAAATCAATTTTTTTTTATTTGAAGTATAGTGATACAAATAAATGACGAAAGAAAAGAAATAACGTAAAGAAACATCATTTTTTAGACAGATTATAACAGACATGAGTAATAATCTGAGATATGGAATTAAGGCGAATAGTTAAGAAAAATAAAGGATGAAGCGGAAGCCGTAAAGAAAGGGAAGAAAGAAAAAAAGGAAAAGTCAAATTGAAAGTAAGAATAAAGAAATGAAAGAGAAAAGTCAAAAATTACAAAACAAGAAAGAAAAAAGAAAATGGATCTGAAGAAATTGAAGAAAGAAAAAAAATAGGGAGAATTAAAACCTTAACAAATTGAAGAAGAAACAAATAAAAAAGAAAATGAAATTTGTAAAGTAATTTAAATAAGAAAAGAAAAAAAGAGAGAAAAAAAATTCAAAAACGAAAAAAAAAATGGATAAAGAAAGCTGAAAAAGTAAATAAATTTAAGAATAAGCAAGGAAAGAATTTTTAAAAAAAATTAAAGAAAAAAATATTTTGTATAAAATAATATTAAAAAGATAAGACAACGCGAAGAGAATGATAAAAGATAGAAAGAAAGAAGATATGAAAGGAAAAAATATATATATTAGAAAAAAACAGGAAGCGTCACAAAGAAAAGAAAACGACTAAAAGAAGAAGAAAGAAAGAAAGCAGAAAACAAAAGAAAAAAGAACAATAAAATGAGAAAGTAAAGATGAAAAAAGGACCAAACGAAAAAGAAAGAAGAAGAAAAGAATGAAATGAATAAATATAAGTAAATAAAATGAAAATAAAATACAAAAAAAATCAAGCAGTAAAAATAATGTAGATTAAAAAAATAAAAAAAATAAGGTAAACAGCGAGAAAACTCGAAAAAAATGAACGAAAAAGATAAAAGAATGAAAAATTAATGTAAAGGTGAAAAAAAGATTCGAAACAAGGAATGAAAAATTGAGGAAAAAGAATGAAAATAAGAAAAGGAACTGGAAAAACGAGAAAGAAAGATAATATACAATAAACTAAAGAAAGAGAAAAGAAAGAAAGAAAGAAAGAAAGAAAGAAAGAAAGAAAGAAAGAAAAAGAACGAACCAAAGAAAGAAAGACAAAAAGAAAGAAATAATAAAGAAAGAAAAGGGAAGAAAGAGAAAAAAAGAAGATGGAAAGAAACAAAGCCTGAAAAAAAGAGAGAATGAGAAAACGAAAGAAAGAAAGTAAAAAGAAAGAAAGAATGAAAGAGAAAAAGAAAGAAAGAAAGAACGAAAGAAAGAAAGAGAAAGAAAAAATAAAATAGTCTAAAATATCAAAGGTAAAAAAGAAACTCCAAAAGTGGAGAGGATAAAGAAATTTAAGAAATAAATAGAGAAAAAAGGAAGAAAGAAAGAAAGAAAGAAAGGAGAAAATTCTATAAAGAAAGAAGGAAAGAAAGCGAGTATTCAATGAAGAAGGAAAGAAAAAAGAAAGGAGTCGAGTATTCTACAAAGATAGAAAGAAAGAAAGAAAAAAAAAAAGAAGGTTAGTAGGCTACAAAGAAAGAAAAAAGTAAGAAGGCGTGTATTCTACGAAGAAAGAAAAAGAAATAAAGGAAATCATTTTACGAAGAAGGAAAGAAAACAGGAAGAAGGTGAGTATTCTGTGAAGAAAGAAAGAAAAAATAATTAGGTGTGAATTCTACAAAGAAAGAAAGAAAGGAGGTGAATATTTTACGAAGAAAGAAAGAAAGAAAGAAAAAAAGAAAGAAAGAAAAAAGAAAGATGACTCGTATTCTACAACGAAAGAAAGAAAAAGAAAAAGAAAGAAAGAAGGTGAGTATTCTACGAATAAATAAATAAACAAACAGAAGAAAGAAAGAAAGAACTGATGAGTGTAAAAGAAAGAAACAAAGAAACACACGAAGAAACAAGGAAAGAGAAAAGAATGAAAGAAAGAAAGAAGTCAAATATAATAATAAAAAAGAAAGAAACAAACAAACCAAAGAAGAATGAAAGATAAGCGAAGAAAAAAAGACAAACGACAGAATTGAAAGAAAGAAAGAAAGAAAGAAAGAAAGAAAGAAAGAAAAAAAAGAAACTAAGAAAGAAGGGAAGGGTTTTAGAGAGGAAAGAAGAAGAGAAAGAATAAAGACAAACGGAACGGAGAATGCGTTTGAAGAAGAATAAAGAAAGAAAAAAAGAAAGAAAGAAAGAAAGAAAGAAAGAAAGAAAAAAAGAAACTAAGAAAGAAGGGAAGGGTTTTAGAGAGGAAAGAAGAAGAGAAAGAATAAAGACAAACGGAACGGAGAATGCGTTTGAAGAAGAATAAAGAAAGAAAGAAAGAAAGAAAGAAAGAAAGAAAATAGGAAAAAGCAAAAGCAATGAAAAAAGAAAGATAAGCGAACGAGAAAAGAAAAAAAAAAGCAAGATGGAAAATGCAATGAAATTAAAACAAAAGAAAAAGAAACGGAAAGAAAAAAAAAAGGAAGAAAGAAAACAACGCCAATTCCAAAAAAAATCGAAAAATGATTTTGGGAAAGGAAGAAATATAGGTTCGTTTGTGCGAGAATTATCAATAAAAAGAAAGAACCAACAGTGTGTGTGTGGGGGAATGGGTTGGGAGTGCGAGTTAGAGAAAGGATAAAAACAAAAGAGATTACAGAGAAAGGCGGAAGAATATATAGAAGGCGGAAGAACGCCGCGGGTTTTGGAGCGGAACGTGGAGAGGAAGGAGATGGAAGCAGGAGAGTAAGGATGGAACAAAGGCTAAGGAGAGTGCACATGAAAAGGAAATTCTCCTTCTTTAAAAATAAAAATAGAGAGAAAGTTTAGCAACAGCAACAACAACTCTAGCAGACCTTTGAGTAACTCAAACAGAAAGTGAAGAACTGGACATATATTTAGACCCCCATATAAGAATTTAAGAATTTATGAAAATGACAGTTGGGCATGTATTTGTTGGAGTGCTGGGAAGGGTCCTAAAAATTCTCCGAAAAAGCTGTCTGGAAGGTGGAGAAAGGGTTGGAATCATCCCAACAACAGAATTAATGAAAAGCGAAGGAATAGTGAGGAGAGTGTCGGTATGCCGAGGAAAACCTCTCTCATTTAATCTCAATTAACAGTCTCTACTTAATACTGAGAGATAAGCTTAAAGAATATAATATAATAATAAAGAATACTGAGGAGGGTGCTGGTGTATTGAAGAGATTTGCTGTCACTTAAGCTCCAATAAAATCATCAGTGAAATCTCAAAGACAACAGCAATAATAACAATAATAATAATAATAATAAGAAGAAGAAGAAGAAGAAGAAGAAGAAGAAAAGAAGGAGGAAGAAGAGGATTTGGACATCAAAGTAACTACCAAAAATAAATAAATATGCCTTTGCAAAGAAAAAAAAAAGAAAAAAAAAGATGATCATCACAGTTGCGTATGGAGTGCAAGAAGAAGCAGGAATAAACAATAGATATTTAATATAGATTTATTTGTTTGGCAAAATTAAGTATTTTCTGTGCTTCCATAGGGGACCGAACTCACGATGTCAGTCCAGGTCACTAAGCATTTCAGGACGACGGCTGTGATGCATAAAGCTGACAATTTATCATAGGATACATATTAATGAGGTGGGATATAATATGAAGAAATGGAAAAGAAAGAATGAAAGAGAGCTGCTATAATATTAAGAAAGAAAGAAAGAAGGAAAGAAAGAAAGAAAGAAAGAAAGAAAGGAAAAAGAAACAAACAAACAACGAGAAAAGAAAGGAGACGGAAACAGTGCAAAGAAAAAAGACATAAGGAAAAAAGGCGGATATACTAGAATGAAAGAAAGAAAGAAAGAAAGAAAGCGAATATAT